GCGCATGGTACACTCTACTCTAAGAGGTGGAGGACATGCACACAGATGGTTCTTATAAGCAGGAGGCAAACAACACTGCAAGGAACAAATTAATTGCAGTGCACCAGGCTGGAGAAACAGAAAAGGAAAGCCAACTGGAGAAAGAACAACGGTCTCCCCTCCAGGGTCGAGAACCATGGTTTTTCAATACAAAGCCAAACCCCAACTTCTTGGGCAGTGAAGCGAAGTTAAAAGGAGAGGCCAGGCTTAGCGCTGCAGAGATTGAAGGGGAACGTGGTGCATACAAGAAGCCGGCACAGAGCCCCCGTGGAGGAAGGCCGCTGAGGTGCCTGAAAAACATCCAGAAGTCCAGCATGAAAAATTCAGAGAGCAAGTGAGGCCTTGGAGCTGAGCCATGAAATTCCATGTCACTGGGGGCAGAGCATTTAGGGACTGTTGCAGCCAGCACGAGGCCTCTGGTTCTCACTCCAAAGGACACAAAAGGTACTAGAACATTGGAGCGGACCTGTGCCACAGTCTCACTTAGGTTTCCAAAGGACCACAAAGATGGAAGACAAGGGGGAAACACGGGAGGAGGGAAGTCGGCTCAAGAGCTGGGAGCGCCGTGTGGCGTGTAGGTGGAGTCGGCCAAGGAGGAGCGCAGGATTCCCTGACAGAGGCACAGAGGCCACGAGGGAAGACAGGCCAAGGATGCGCTCAAGTGTGTGGTGGAAGTAACAACTTAAGAGAGGAGCTGACGTCAGCGAGAAAGGACAGACTGGAAAGCGCAGGCCACAAGCGCAGAAACCGCAGCCCAGGGGGAGTGTGGCGTGCAAGACAGCACGAAGCAGGTGTCTGCCGCCGCTGCAAGGCTGGCTTCTACCGGAACCCTTCATTCCTCCAAGAGCAAAACTTTGGTTTTTCTTGAACACCTATATCAATGTCAATTAAGGGCTACAAATTCAATAAATATGTGCTCAGTGGATAACTGAATGTTTTACCAATTATTAGCATACAGTGAGAGTCAGATTTAAAATCTCAGTACTATGATTCTGCAGTAGCTTTTGTAACTGTACAAGGATGAACAACTTCAAATACTGTAACTGTACTTGCTGCTTACGAAATCATGCTAAATATTAAAACTGATTGAATATTCTCTTTGTATTTATTGAATAAAATTTATTTTAACTAGGAAGCTATGGAAGCTAAATTAACTTTGGCAATAGAAAAGAAAAACTCAAATAATCGTTTATTTATTAGTCCTACATCTTAGTATAATTTTTCAAAGCCTAGTTATAAAAAGAATTTGATGCGATAAAATGTATTTTATATCTTTTGATGCCCACAGCACTAGGTTTTATCGTAAAGTAGCAAAATGTGATTTAAACATTAGACAGTGGATCTGATACAATTACTGACCCAAAAATCATTTCAAAGGAAGTAACCTCATTAGAACTAATCTCATCAGAGCTACTTTTGCTCGCTTTCTCTAAGTAAATCATGTGTTAAGGGCACGTTAACAGCATTCAGAGACTCTGCGCAGTGCCCCTCGTAGTTTTGCCTCCTTTGTTCTGCGCACGACAGCAGGACAGCACACGTGAAGGGGCAGCATCCTCCCCACATCCGCGCTTTTTACTTCCGTGGCTTGAAAATATGAAATGAGAAATTTTGGAAATAAAGAATGTATCGATTTTAAGCTGCATGTTGTTGGGAGGAGGAGGAGGAGGAGGAGCGCTCACGCCGGCCGCCCGCCCCGCGCCCCCGCGGCGCGCTTCGCGTCCCTCCGCCTCGGTGCCAGGCGCGTGTGCCAGGCGCGCCGTCCTCCGCTGTGCCCAGCAGCTTTGGCGGACGGCGCGCGCGGACCGCGGTTGTGTGCGCTAACCGCTAGTTCAGCTGCCCCTCATCCCAAAGGCGGCAGGGCGTTGCTTGGCTGTATCCAAGAGACCCTGTAGAACACCGTAAGTGAGAAGCTGACGCTTTTCGGTGAATTGGGAGAGAGAGCTGCTGCGTGCTGAGGTACAGTCACCAAGTCGCCAACTTCCCTCGGCTCACCTCGCTGGCATTGTACAGCCTCAAATTATAGGAGACAGAAAAAGTCACTGCAGTGTGAGAAGATCTCCCAAGACTCCACATACCAATGTCGCTGGTTGGAGTCTCTGTAATACTTGTCCTACTCTATCAGTGTTATTAATCTCTTCCTGTGTTTAGTTTATAAATCTAACTATATTCCAAATACATATTATGGGCAAAAGCCATGGGTGGGTACTATTCAGGGCTTCAAGCAGCCACCTGGGATCGTAGAACGTGTTCCCTGTGATTAAGGGGCCACGGGCTGCTAGCGTGCCACCTGTCACGCCTGTGGTGGCTGCACACCCTGACCTCTTGCTCCTCCCCACACGCGCCCTTCACCTGCTCCGAATACTGAGGCACGTGCTTCCGCGACACGCGCAGGTCCTCGCGCCCGAGCTCAGCCCGTGGGGCTCCTCGCCCCGAAAGCTCCCTCTCCCTTTCTGGAGGCCGTCAAAGCACTGCTCAGGGATCCAGCTGCAGACAGCCTCCCGCCCTCCCTTCAACACCCTGTCCTGCCCAGCCGTCGGGAACTGGCAAATTTACGGTCTCCATTCTTGGGTCCTGGGAATCAAACCCAGGGCCTTGCCCGTGCCAGGCAGGGCTCTGCCGAGGGCGGCACCCCCACGCCCTTCTCTGCTGCTGATGTCTGTAGGGCTTTGGATGTGCTTGTCCGCTGCTTCAGGCTGTGGAATGTCAAGACAGACTTTGTGCCCTCGCTTTTCATTTCTCGCTTTCACCCATCTCCCGGCCCCGCAGGACACAAGCGGTGTGTGTTTGCTCTAGGGCCGAGCTCCCCGCCCCCACACGTGCCCCTTCCCAGGGTTTTTCAGAAGCTTGAATGGCTTTAGAAGAGATGCCTCTGGAATGGAAGGGAAGGATCACACAATGTTGAAGCCGAAAAGACCTTCACAAGCGGTTCATCCAGGACGTGGGTGGGGAAAGGCATTAACCTTTCCGGCACAAAGGCTTTGAATACTATGAAAACATTTCTAAATGTTATTTAATCTTCACAGCAACTTGGGTATCAACAGCAAGGGCACGCAGTGCAGAAGAGAACGCTGGACCCCTGGGCACACAGGGGCACATTCTTTGCAGCATCTCACAACGAAAAGCCACCAAAGAAAGACATCATGGGCTGGAAACGCCACTGTGGGAAGGAGCAAAGAAAGGTCGCCCTGTCACCTCTCAGCAGAAGGAAATCTGGTGAACCGACTGGGGAAGGTGTTAACACAATGCATTTTGGAAAGATCTCTCAGCCCCCACACATGCCCTGCATTTTGATGCAAGCAAGACGCAGGAACCTGAACAGTGCTGAGGTTGCCAGGAGCACAAAAGAACTTCATTTCTCTCCCTACTTCCCACAGCAGGCAGCATGGGGGCAGCGCACTGACTCAGAGTATTCCGGACGAGCACAGGGCTGCGTGGAGGACCGGTGACACACGCACACTCTTCATATGAAAGTGTGAACTGAGCCCCCCCCCACACACACAGAGGAAAACCAGAATGTCTCTGAGGGGCACCCACAGTTGGTGTAGACATCCGCACTGAGCCCCAACCTCAGCAGACCACCCAGAGAATAGCAGGAGCGCTGATCCTTAGCCACAGCCCCCAAGGAGGGCGCCACCAGCCTTTTAAGAGAATATTACCTCGTGCTGCTTTTGCTTTATTTGTGGAACCCGGAATTGAACTCTGGACCTTGCACTTGCCAGGCAGGTGCTTTGGCCGCTGAGCCATCTCCTCGTTATCTAAGATCAGGCTCAGAGCCAGCTGTCCGTGTGTAGCCAAATACCTCATCTCTGAGCCATCCTCAGCTCTGCTGTGACCAACGCTGAACTTCCCTGATACTGCACGTGCCGTCTGCTTTCTCATACACAAGCAAGCTAGCACAACCACCGGACGCTTGACAGTGTCTGCGCTACCTGCTTTTGTCGGACAATCTCTGTCTTCATAAAGAATGTGAACAACATGCCTCCCTCACTACACTCACTCGTCTCTCAACTCTCAGCTGAATCTTTAGTTCTGCTCCCAACCCGGAGGACAAAGGCAGACAACGTCTCCCTCCCAACAGCAGAAATTGTCATCACTTGAAGGACGAACAAAAAAGCATAAAATAAACACATGGGGGGCCTCAGTCTGTTCCAGCCCATGGAAGACAAAAGGAATCCGCAAAGCTTTTGTATCCGAAGAGCTCCTTCCGTGTGGCTCTGTCACTTAGGCATCATTTGGCTTCACAAGTGCTGTACTTATTTTTTAATTATTAAAGTAGATTGAGATTATTATCTTAGTTCTGTAGTATTTCAGAGCTCAGGATATCTAGCAGTGGTTATTTGTGCATGCATGCGTGCATGAACATGCACACACATGCACACACACGCACACACGCACACACACATTTTGTGGCTATGATCATATGGTTATCGACTGAACTGCGTACAATTCAAGTATTTTAAAGACTAGCATAATGATATTTATTGTTCCTTATTTGCAAGTGATATTTTCTCGGCAATGTCTAGACTGCCTTTTTATTCTTCAAGATTTATCTTGACAATTTCCTGCTCCAAGCATTCTCCCAGCACACGCACTTCAAGGTGGCCTTACCGGGCATCTCTCCGAGTTCTCCGTTTCCTCCCTTCATGGACTCCCTCACTTCCAATGCCTCGTCCTTCCCCCACTAACTTGTGAGCGTTCAGAATGCTTTCTTTTTGGTCATCACCCAAATGCCTGGAGGAGTATCCGCCCCACATAAAAGGCCCCCAATGGATAAATAAATGAATGCATGCAAGAAATTGAAAATTTGAAGTGCACCACAGTAAAACTGTGCTGATTTGTAGCTTAAATAAAGTGGAAACACCAGATTTAGCAGCCTGTATATCTGCCACGCTTTGAACTGGGCACTCTATTCCCTTTTCATCTCTCCTCACGATAGTGGAAAAGTAGAAACCCAAGCCAACCTTAATCGTGGTCGTGTGTGCTCCTGGGTATTCTTTTTCTTCCAGTGTCGACCATCTTTCTATAAACTTAGACACCAAGGAATCATCGTAGTCCACTATCTGGAATCCAGACACATTTGCACCGCCAAACTGGATTTTTAACAGGTCGCCATCTGTAAATCCCTAGGCACAGAACACACTTATGTCATCCACAAGAACTCACCATTTAACATGTAATTCTACACAACGGTTTTATATATTTCAAACAGTAGCTGATACATACGAAGTTTTCAGAAAAGGTCCCTGCCAACCTGAGATCATGCAACCCCCCTCAGTAATGCTTACACAGAATTTCAGTCTTACTGAGAAGCCTCCCATGAGCAGGAGCATCGAGTGGAGCCTCTGCCCTCGGCCACAGGCTCGCAAGGCCAGGGAGCGCATAGCGCAAGACTGTGACCTTGAAACTCATTTCTCATTAAGTCGATCATTCATTCATGTAGTATAAATATTTTTTAAACGAAAGTAGAAGGCCTTCAATGCACAGTCATTCCTAAGAATAGTTTTATAGATTTTATTAGAAATTTTTCTTATATTATTAAAATGAGTTCATTCACCACTAAAATTATCATGTAGTCTCTCCACTGATTTCCGATGCTGTTGAAGGGATCTTGTTTCAGTACATCAGTATTTCATATTCTTGCAATTATATGAACTTGTACACTTTATTGTTCTTTATTATTTTGTGTAATGTCTTTTCTTTCTTGTTGATATTAGACTATATTGTTAGCTGAGCATGGAAGCACAAGCCCTGAATCCCAGCTCCCAGGAGGCAGAGGCAGGAAGGCTGCTTTGTATTCAGCACCAACTTGAGCTACAACGTGAGTTCAAGGCCAGCCTGAAGGGTATAGTTAGGCCCCGTCTCAAAAGGACAAAAAATAAAATACATTGCTGTTTTCCTAGGAGAAGTATAATTGCTTTTTGTTGGTTTGCAATTTTGTTTTCACTTTTGCCAGAATACAAATAGTGAAAACATTATATAAGAAAATCATATCCAGGGCCAGAGAGAGCTCAGCGGCCTAAGCACATGACTGGCAAGCGCAAGGACCAGGGTTCAGTGCCAGGAACCACATGTCACGCCGATCCCACACTGTGCTGGTCACTGAAACCAGGCTTGGTGGTGCAGGCGCTCCCAGTGTTAGGGAGGCTGAGACAGGAAGATCACTAGGAATCCAAGCTGCATAGTGAGACCCTCTACCAAAAAGAAAAAAAAAAAAAAAAGAAAGAGAAAGAAAAGAGAGAAAATGACATCCGTGGTGTGGAGCACTGCTTCAGGCTTGCACTCTCCATCCCCACCACATCCTTCACGTGCCCGTCCTCTGCTTCTCCTCAACACTTACATGGCTCTTTCTTGATTTGTCAAATTTAGATGTTTTACTGCATTTCTATTTATGCCATATAAGCACGTAACTCAGTTTTGTAACCAAACATTTTATCCCTCAGTCATCTGGCCCAACATCTACAGTTTCGCTCCCTCTCTCCGTCTGCCCCATGGCCGTGACCGTGCAGCGGCCCACAGTGTCTCAGCTTCCCCCGAGAACGCCCTGTTCCCTCCCTCGGTCATGTTTCTTTCTCCTGCTCTGTTCGTCCAGGAGTTTCCTGAGACGCTGGAGGTAACGCTTTGGAGGCAAGGCATACTGACTTGACTTTATTTTACCTGGATGCTTGATTGGTATTTTGCCTCAACAGAGATTGGTAAAGTGAAAATTTCCTAACTGGGAGGCTCCATTCCACTGATTTTTATGTTGCAGTCAGAAAGTATCATTTCTAACTGCTTTGTATGGTATCTGCTTCTAGCCCCTACCACTTCCCTACCACCTCCAAAATACATACATACATACATACATACATACATACACACATACATAAATACCATTTACAATCTGCCCTTTACCTCCAAAATTCCACAATGAAAATTTCACTAAATTGTTCTTATTTCATTATCGTATGCATCCAAGAGGCAGATCTGTGTCAATCAGCTCTGGGTATTTTTCAAAACGATTCTTGAATATTTTCCTTCTGTTAAATTCCTTTGTCTCCCCTAGTATGTCCATTTTTAGGTATTATGCCCTTAAATCAAATGTCTAAATCTGTTGTGGGTTTATGTTTTCTGATATCACGTTCTCATTTTGTTATGTAATCCAGAATATTATTCACTCTCCTCAAGGTCATGTAATTAAATTAACTTGCTATTTTAAGAAATGAAATGAACAAAATCAGTTAGCTTTCCACAGCTCATATTCTCCTTTTCTTCTTGCTTACAAAACCTTTCTTTTATTTTTCTTTTTCTATAGATAAAATGTTTTCATTTTTCTGTAGATATTAATTGTATGTTTTAAACATTTTCTTCTTTCTTTCTTTCTTTCTTTCTTTCTTTCTTTCTTTCTTTCTTTCTTTCTTTCTTTCTTGTATTTCATGCTTCAAAGTAAAACTTTTCCTACATGCCTGTTGCGCTTAGTTATTTTGGGCTGGCCATGACACTCAGGCTCATCACCAAGCAGGGTCCGTGCAGGAGACAGGTGAGTGGGCAGGGTGGACACAGGGCCCGGCCATATTTCCTTTCCTTCGTTCTGGGCCATGCATTCCCACTGCAATCCCCTCATTTCCTTAGAAGTGTGTATGTCTAGTTGAACTCTGGAGAGAGAATAGGGCACGAGGTACAGCGAGGCTCAGAATTCAACATGCGGCCTTCCCCTGGATTGCTTGGGTACCTGTTATTAGAGTATCAAGATCTTCCACAATTCACCATCTCTAGAAAGTACCACCGTCGAGAGTGCAAGTGGGTATCTAGGGAGCAGGGCTTGTCGCTACTGATGTATGGGAGTGAACAATCATTTCATACAAAAGTCTTTGAATCAAACTTGGTACCAGAGGTGCTGGTACTGGCCCAGTTTCCTAAGATCCATTTGCAGAACAAGCTGTCCCCTGGGGGCTAGCAGTTAACATCCATAACCTGTCCCATCCACAGAACTGCCAGTAGTCAATGAGGCAAAAATAACTGGAATCTGGGTACAAAGATGCATCTATATCACCGTTCACTGAAAAGAGTAATGTGACTCTCGCAACAGAGAACCTCAAAGGTCCAACGGAGCCCCCAGCCACTCCGAACTGCAGCCACCACCTGGTCCCCTTCCTGCCTTGCTGGCCACATGCGCTTGCAGCTCCTCCCAAGCAGCCTCGCTGCCCTGCACGAAGGACTTGCTGAGAGGCTTGGTTAGAGGAGCCAGCGGATGCACGTCCTTCCTGCCCCACACTGCAGCTTTGCTTCCCGAGCGTCCCGCTCCACTCAGGTGGAGCCCGCCGCGTAACTCAGCTATCTGCATCCCACCTGGGAACACTGTGACACTTCCCCTCCTCTTTGCCACCACATTGCCACCTGTCATCCACTCTGTGTCCTCAGGACACTCTATCTTGCAGTGCTGATGTTTTCACTTGCCTTAAGGTTTTATATCACTTTCACCTTTTTACAATCACTATTGTCATAGTTGTATTGCAAACACCACTTTCAGCAGGGACCATACTTGAGATTTTTAAAGTAACTTTTGTAAGGGTCTACTTTACATTTTCTATCTTCCTCTCTGAATCTTATTAATTCATTAAAAATGAAGAGGAGAATAAATTAAAAAGAGGAGCCACTGCAGAGGCACTAAGGACTAATGACACACACAGCAGCAATTGCTTATTAAGATTTACTGCCAGTTTCAAAAGAGAAGTCCGAATCGATGACCTGCAAATGTCTGAGAATGTGATGTGGAGGTGTGCGAAGTTACTAGGACGTTGGAACCATCACTATGCCAGGAACTGAGCTCAATTAAATCCATGCAACCAGCTTGGGTGAAGAAATGAGACCAAGCGTTCTATGTGCCCTTCCTCCACACGCTGCATACTCGTTAAGCTTTCAAATTCTGTATGAGCAACTTCCACACAGCACTTCACCATCTGGTCTGAAACAGGTCAATAATGACATCTATGCTGATCCCTGGGATTAGCCCTGTAACACTGGAGGAGCCAGGGGCCAGGAGGAAGGTGAAGTCAGCCCAGAGTTTGGAAGATGAACCCTTTGACTTTGGATGGCATGTTTTCCAATTTTGAAATTGCCAGGTGGTCTCTAAGTACTGAGAAATTGAAGCAAAATTTCTCATTAAACTTTATTCACTAAAAATTTCACATGAAGAGTAAAGCAAGATTTAAGAAAAAAAAAAAAAAAAGACAGAACTTGCAATCAGATGAAATACCAGGTAGATGACTCCCTGGAAAAATTACAGCAGCATAAACTTTCTTCTTTTAATAAACTTCGGTCATTCAAACCCTTCTTTCCTATCTTACAGTATCACACATCAACTCTCCAGTCGGCAAGCCAACTTCTGTCATTCTTTCTCAGTGTCTCAGCATAATCTCCTCCATCTGGATATTCTCCAAGCTTTCAAAACAGTTCTGTGCTGTTCCTCAAATGACTGGACCCACACAAAGGACGGAAGACCCGCTGCTCCCAGCCGGGAGCGAATTCTGTGGAGACTTGTGTGGGGCTTCTCTATTTAATCGTGGCTTCTCTGCATGTCCCCTCTGGGCCTCTTCAGTATGCTCGAGGGCAAGATCTGCAGTTTGTGTCATCTTCAGCATTTCATAGCCAGACAGAGATTTCCCCTTCAACAGTCACCTTCTGCCAACGGCATACTGGCTTGAAATTTAAACTAAGTGCTAGTACCAACTTCAGTGAAAAACAGTGTCCAGACATTGGACAGTTGTGGCTTCTGTTTGGATTTTAATCTGTGTCATCTCTAATGTACAGTCAGATGTTATGCAGCCACACGCTGAGTCTACATTTGTATAAAATTTAAATCCTTCTCATATTGCTATGCTATTTCCAATAAGCTTGCATCTTCTGCTGTTTTCCCTGTTTCCCTGCGGTTGTGCAAGGGAAAGGGGGACTTAAGCTCAATCACAGAGGATCATGTCAACTTAAACATCATTAATTCCTGAAAAGTGAGGGCCTAATTTCATGTTAACACTACTCTAAAAGTGATTTTGAAAATAAAATCTAATAATTACTCAGAACTGGTGACTCTGAGTTCTCTTAAAGGGAAGTAGCAGGAGCCGCTCCGTTGTTTCAGGATGACCCTAATTTGGCAAAAATCCTGATGAAGGAGGTGTCAGCTAGAAGAGCTCAGTTCTCAGACTGTTAATTACATAGTAAGTAGGAAAAAGAACTCATAAAATACTGACATTCCATTTTATATATAGTGTTAATAGTATTATCATATATTCAAGCTTAATTTTGCAATAAAATGTATTTCCTAAAAGTACAATTATGTCAGCTATTTTATGCATTAAAACTTTAAGGAATGTACACAAAGCAAAGTTTATAAAACAGAAAACAGTGAGAAACAAGGGAATATTTTGACAGATAAACTTTACATTACTGAAAAATCTCCCTTAGTTAAATTATACCTTCTAATTTGTTCAGTCAAATATTGTTCTATGAAATTTTTGGTCACTTTTTATAATAGGAATTAATTGGAAAAGTAAAGTGGAATGTAAATCTAAAACATAACAAATTGAAAAACTATTGCCAATTCTAACCTATCAGGTCTACCAAAATTGCATTTGTAAAACTCTACTAATAAATGGTGATCAGAGTTACTTTTAGAAAGCATAATGAAATAATAAAATAGTTTACCTACCAGATTTGCAATGATATAGTGGTACCCTTTAACATGTTTTCCAATGGTAATAACCTACCAAAAATAAAGAAAACAAACATTTAATAAATATAAATATAGTCAATATAAGTTACTAGTATTGCAATGTGTTTCAGGAAGGTAAAAGGAATTATACCTACTATGTCTTAATGCAATTCAGGGAATATTTCTCACAGGAAAACATAATAGTATATTTTAGTCTGAAATAACACTGACTCTTCAAAAAGTCAATCACTATCCCAAAATAATTATTACATTTCTATCAGTAGTGAAAATAAGATGCTAAGAAGCATAAAATTAATTTACTTTTATTCCTTTAAGAAGTATATCTTGTCTTTTTAGTAAAAATCTAAACAGCAGAAATAAAAACTGAAGTTTTTATAATCACACATTATATAGTCTAAGATAAGCACACAGCTACAAAACTACAAAAACTTTGAAAAAATAATGAGCAAATAAAAATTACAATGATATATAAAATTATATCCTTATCATCAGAATATTCAAAAGCTTATAGCTTAGTTCAAGTGGACACCATTTCTAGGTTACACAGCCAAGTATTAGAGAGGTCAATTTTTTTTCAGAAATGTAATTAAAAGATCATGCCCTGAAAAACCACCTCATGGAATTAGAGGTCATGCTGTAATGCTCACAAGGGTTTTGGTTAATCCTGACAACAATTTAACCTTTTGTTGACCAACAGCTACATGAAAAGGGCAAAATATTTCTGACTCAGCAGAGAGCCAGGAGTCTGAGTTTGTCAACATGCCCATCCTGTGCAAGAGGAAGGCATGGACATTGTGTGAGTTCTGGGCTCCCAGCCCCAGGGTAGCTTGTTTACAATATAAGGAGGGAGAGAGGCTGGCTAGAAGCCACAGCTGCTGCCCTGGCCTTTGCCCTTTGCTGGTTTCTGCTGCCATGGACTGCAGCTCTCTACCATGTGCCACTGGTTGATACAGTGTGTCAACTTGAGAACTTTAAAAGTTAAATTAAGTGACTCAGCAGAGAGCCAGGAGTCTTAGTTTGCAAACATCCTCATCTTATGTAAGAGGAAGGCATGGACATTATGTGAGTTCTACACCCCCAGCCCACGGTAGCTTGTTTATAATGCAAAGAGGGGAGAGAAGCTGGCTGCAAGCTGTACTCCTTCCTTTTACTCTTTGCTGTTTTCTGCTGCCATGAACTGCTGCCCTCTGCCATGTGCGACTCGGCCTGAGATCCAGCTGGGTACAGACGGCAACCTCCACAAACTAAGAGCTAAATAAACCTTTCCTCCTTAAATTTAGTATTCGGGTATTTTTTCCCAGCAATGAGTAATACGTAACTGAGACACAGAGACACAGGTACATGTGTATGCGTGTGTGTGTGTGTGCGCACACACACACACACACACACACACACACACACACACTAAGCATTTAATGTATCTAACCTACTAGCCTCACAGTTTGACCATGAAGATCAGGGTGGAGTACAGGAGTAGAACCATTGCCCCTCTTGATGGCTGCCTGAGGGCAGAAAGCCGAGGGGAGCCTCCTGTCCTCAGCATCCCAGGGCCCTGACACTACTGCACTGCCTACCCTTGCCCCAGAAAAGAATTCATTTGGAAATTGTATGATACTCTCCATTGAATGCATATGGCTTTCACATTATTGTCAAGTTGAGTGGTCATAAATCAAACCATCATAAAGCCAGGTCTATGCATTTTCAGATATAATCTCTATTATTAAAAAAAATAATAATAATTCCAGTGGAAAGAATCAAGAAATGCCAAGGTGGTAGATAAATGTGCCAACCATTATTTCAGTCTTCACACTAAACTGACTTGGTAATTTCCCAAAGAATTTAGCATAATAAGAAAAATTCTTAACAGGCTGCGAACTCCGATGACTTTGACACTTCTCTGGTCTATACCGTCTGTGCTCAAGGCCCATGGCAGCTACTCAGAGCTCGAAAACACTGCTTCTTGCTCCATCATCAGACGGTTTATCTTTCTCTTACGGCACAATGACTCTTGCACATTGTTAGCTCCTGGGAGTAGAACTCCCTGATTTTCCATCGTCTTCTGAGAAGACAGAAGTACACAAGTAACCTACTTAGTTGAAGAACAAGGAAAATGATCCTGGGAGGAATTCTCCCACATGCCACTTTGACAAAGAGTGGTAGCTGTTTGAAAGAAATTAGGTGTTATATTGTTTTCTAAATCATTTTCATGCAATGTAACTAAATTGCCTTTTACAAGAAATTGTGTCCTCTATTTTGAAGGATTTTTATGTACTATATATACTTCTGAATGAATACCTCATGAATTAATACCAGTTTTCTCAAGGTAATATCCTAAGGCATTTTTTGAAATTTGAGAAATATCCTTTTAGGATACATCCTACCACTTATCCTAAGGGCATCTGCTGGCTTTGCTTACTGTGTATTACAATTTCTAAAGTGTGTAGGCATTTCTTCTGTGAATTAAATAAATGCAGTAGAAATGGTGATATCAGTAGTCCCTAAATGTTCATTGAGAGAAAGATAGGAAAATTCAATAAAAATCTATATAAAAATTAGCATCAACCATATTCCCTATTAACATTTTGCCTTTTAAAACAGTATTATACTACCAATAGAAAAGTTGTGTTGCCTTACGCTTCTTTGGAATATTTTTCCCACATCATCACAGCTAGAAGTAAGTACCTGAAAGACTGTAACAGCTGATAATAAAATACCTAAGATGCAATGCAGTTCAGTTGTACTGCTAAATTCAGTCTATCAGGAAAATAAAGAGTTTCATCTCTTTGGTAAATACCAAAGAGTAAACAGATAAATAATACTTCCTTAGAAAGCACTTTATCTCCCGTTCATTTGCTAAACATTATTCCTTGTGGAACATCAAAAAATCTGATTTACATCTTCCAGAAACTCTTTCAGAACACTCATTCTTTGCATTCATAACATGCCCCATTGTTGTCAGCATATATTCACATTAATACAATTTGATGGGGCCTGGCCTGTTTTGTTTAACATGACTTTTTAAAAAATCTAATGCAGTGTCTTCCAGCAAGCACTGGATGCTCAGGGAGTATTTATTCAACAATAATTAAAGAGCCCAAGCAGCTGATTCTCACTTCTCTGTGAACTCTTGACAGAATCCCAGAACCCTGGTCCTCTATATTATATTGTTTTTTGTTTGTTTGTTTTTCTATACTTAGAGCAGGGTCTACAGGGTCTATAAGGTCTCACTATGTAGATCAGACTCATAGTGATTCTCCTGCTTACAGCCTCCCAAGCGCTGGGATTACAAGCGCATGCCAATTCCTGTCTCAGTGTGCCCCGGGGTCAGGGCCAGCATGGCATGTCAGGTATTGAACGCCAGCCTCTGAGCTCTGCCTAAACAGGCATTGTGAACCACTGAGCTGTCAGACCAGCCCTACAAGTCCTCTATAAAGAAAGGTACTTCCTCCTCATTTCTGGACCACGACTACCTTTGGATCCTGAATGTCCCTAAAGACCTATGCATCAATGGGGTGGCCTCAGTGAGTTGATAAAGAAGATTCTAGAAACCTTTAAGAAGTAGAGCCTTGCCAGAGATTTTAGGTCATCAGGCACACTCTCAAATGGCACCATGAACCCAAGTCTCTCCCTGCGCGCATCACTACTTCCCAGATGCTGGGAACTGAGCTGCTTCCTTTACTGCTTGTACCTACAATGATGTGCTGACTTCCACAGCCCCAAAGGCAATGGCCCCCCGTCACAGGCTAGAACTACTCAAATTGTAAGCCCAAATCAATGTTTACTCTCTGTAAGTTTATTCATCTCAGCTATTTGTTATAGCAATGGAAACCTGACTGACACAGCACACTATAGCATGGCTTGCTCTATCACATGAATGCATTTTCCCTTCTCTATACTATGTTGATGGAATACAATTAGGACTCTTCCTTGTCTCTCTTGGCATCCTTTATTGTGGAACTAGGCTAGACCCAGGGATGTAACTCAATGGCACAAGTACCTGCCTGGCAAGTGCAAGGTCATGAGTTCAATTCCCAGTACAAATAAATAAATAAACTTATTTATTTATTTTATGCTGAGTCACACCTACCCACCACATGTAGTCAACATATTCAAGGATGTCTCACAGATGTGTAAAACCCTTCCCCTTGTGAATAACTGCCACACAAATATTTTAGAGCTATGATGGCACATTTACTTCTGAACATTGCTTTTTATGATGCTTCAATTTCTTTTGCAGTTTTTCCATGTCTAGCTTTGTATAGCATTATTTTTCTATATGTTTTCACTAATATTTATGATGATACAATGTGAATACTTAATTTTTTAAACAAGACTAATGAATATTATTAAAATAGAAATTTAGTGAAAATTTCCTATCAAATTCAAAAGAGATTTTGAGAATTATGCCTGACCCAAAAACTTTCAGGTTAAAAATAATTTTAAATTCATTTCCTGAGGCAAGATTTTTCCATCAAATTATTAACTTCTTTGCCATACAATATTTGATTCTTTCTTGTAACAGGTTGTTGATTTAGTTTTCAGTATTTCATAAGAGGTTCTCCTTTTACGTCTTAAAGCCTGTACTGTATATCAATTAGGGGACCATTAACATTTGTATCTGCAGAATATTTGTGTTGAGTAGGTTAATAAATCTAATTTTTGCTGCTAAGCCTAGACACAAGAAGAAATGCATATGTAACTGTGGAATTTCGTTTCCGTCATACACCTTTCCAAGGAAATAACAACCAGCACGCGCAGACACCCTCAACTAAAAACGTCATAGACACTGTTCAGCTCTTTTATGTTCAAACTCTTTACTCAGCAGATCCTCGTGAGTCCTTGTTTGTTTACTGTTTTTCAAATACAATAGCTGCTACTGCTCGTCCTGTTATCACTGCGAGCCTGTCCCACCCTACAAAGATCATAAACTGCAGCAAGGTAATGTAATAAGGACGAATACAAAAGATCTTGTCTCTTTCATTTTGTGACTCTTTCAAATAGTCAAAATGGATACATGGAGTTGACTTTCAAATAGTGAATGTGGCCTGAATGTCTTTCATATTTCAATTTCACAGACTTTAATTTTTCATAGTGACACGAATATGTTAATACAAGGAGAAACATCACAGCTTACAAAAATAAATACCTACTTCTTAGAGACATGGACCCAGTGAAATAGTAACATCAGCTATTGACATCAGAATACACTATACTGTCAAAGTATTCTAACACATTACGAATGAATATTTGAAATGACTCATGTGCCTCGAAGAAATTCTTTCAATTTCCCCTTAGAACTCAGATTTTGGCTTAAGATATGTCTATCTCTTTAGCTAGTAAAACTTCATCCAGATTTAATTTAAATTCTTCAACGAAAATATCATAATCTAGTGCAAGATTTATGTAAAGCATGAAAGCAAGGAATATGCACTGAAGTTACAGTTATTTCATAACTAATATTGCCTGTTGGCATTCCTGGCAGCCACCGGCCCCTGCTCACTGAACCTGAGATCGCGCCCATGATGGATCTCGCTGCGCCCTACACAGACCTGCCGTCCAAGCGCGGTGCGCAAAGCTCCACAAACACTGACGTCGCATGCAGAGGCTATTTTTGGTGAAAACAGAGAAACAGAGAGAAGCAAACCTGGTCCACAATGTCATTCACTTTGTCGCGTTCACAGTCCAGGATCACACGCCGTTCTTTTTTTAACTCCAGATCTTGGAAGAGCGAGCGGTATGTCTCGTCTTTCTTGTCATTGTTGATGTTCCCCACGTTGATAGCAGTCACCTGCCACTTCTTCTCAGCAGCAGAATCCAGCACAGCTTGCAGCGTTGACAGGCCTGGGGAGCCAAAGGAAAGCGCTGACTGCAGAAGGCCCTCAAATAACTCTGATCTGGGCTGTGAAATTGCCCGTGTGCGCAGTCAGCGCTGACATACTTGTATAACTCTGGGGATGTTGACTCTCCAAAAATAAAGCTACGGTCTCTATCAATATCAGCTTAGATCTGCATCTCAGCCAAAGCCCACAACTTAATACTACCGTTCTAACCCAAATGGGAGGAAGGCATTACCTTTTTCTTTCAGCCCTGCCACCTACCTTTTGGCTACGACTGTACGGTGAAGTATTTAATGTCTCCGGCTTATGTGAAAGCAAAGATTTCATAGACACTGCTTCTTCTTATAGACAGGCAAAACTGTTGAGTCTTGTATGCCTGCCTGTCACGTGACAGTAATTTCCTCAGGGAATCGAGTGCATTTCTATGAAAGGTAGCTCTGTGACCCCAGGTAACAACAGTAGCCAGTAATCTCCACGAGGCTACAAAAGATTTCCTCCTATTGATTTGGGTCTGCAGTTTTATTGCTTTTTTTTTCTTCTGCAGCCTTCTGTTTTATTATTATTTGTTATTGGGACTGATCCCAGGGGCAGATAAAATGCCTGCCAACTTCACAGAGGGTGGCAGGTCTCTAGTACAGATATCTCAATCCCTAAGCACGAGACAACTTCACCACTCTTTAGTAATTTGGCTCAGAACAAAGATAACTTAGAAAGATTTTATTTGATTTTAATTCTCCTAATATTTTCTCTTATTTAGGACTGAGAGGCTTAACAACTAGAGGATTTATTTCCTGCAGAGATCAATTTGTCAGTTAGCACTGGAAAAACTAATCACAAACTCATCTCCTTCCCCACTTTCCCTCTTCACAACCAGGTCCTTATCTACATGAAGCCCAGGAGCTAAAGGCTACCGAAGCCACTCTGAGGTCAGTATATCACCCTGTTGTTTCCAGAAAGGCCTGCCTATTTCTCAAAATAATGTTGGGCCTCTTTTATTTCTAAAATTTATGATTCGCCTAATGTGATCACGTCTTCTACTACCTAAAAACAAAAGTTTATTTAAGTCTTTTTGCCGTGACAAGAAATATATCAATTATAAATCTTTCCTGGTACTTCCTCAGTAGAGAAAATATTATTAAAATTATTACGAATTGAATGTTAGTCAGAGGGTACCTATGATGTATCTAGAACATCTCACGAGACCAGAAAACCAGGAGGTGCTCCTCAGAGTCGGTGTCAAAGATCTAGCAGCCGATTTGAAGAGCTTTTCTTTAAATAAAGATAGATTGGAATGTTAGTTAGAGTGAGTGCGAAAGACTGAAAAGAACAAGACACTATGCATGTATGAAGTTATATTAAAAGAATGCATTTGTGAAAATGTTAATGCTTGTCTTCAATAAATTGAAGCCAATTAATTATTCTAAAAGCTAAGGAAGGGAAACAAGCATCTTCCCCCTCCTCTGCAGACTGTACCTTGGGTAACAATGAAATAAAGGTTGCTCTTTTGAGAAATGCTCCAGCTAATTCCTGACGAGCCTCTGAGAGTTCAGATCTATTACCATTCTGCAACACCTAGTTAATTAATGAATGAAGCCACAATCATCAGGCTGATCACAGACAAAGGACAGAGACCCTGAAGTTCTCCAAACAAAGATGTCTGCCTTCATGAGACCCACTCCTGTCACAAAATTTAAACCAAATCTCATCCAACTTCCACCACCAGTTCATAAGGAATATATGGAAGAGGGTAATGTCTTTAGCATTTGATAAAGAAAACACAGTGATGGTTACTTGTTCCTAAATAACTGCATGGAAAAGAGGGCTATAGAAGAAAAAGGAAAATCACTCATATTGGCCATGGGTACAGCTGGGTTAGGAATGTGTGACTGCCAGACACCACGGTGCACATCTGTAATCCACACACTTGAGGGCTTGGGTGGTGGCTACAAGAAGGTCACACTTTCCAGAGAAGTCTGAGCAATTAATTCAGCAATTTGAGGACACACTGACCCAAAATAACAGCAGAGTGCATGGGGAACACAGAACCCCGGCCCTCCATTGAATTCCTGGTACTACCAAAAAAATCAAAACCAAAAACAAAACAAAAAAAAATACTTTAGGTTCTTGTTACTATTATAGTTGTTTAAATATTTCATAGTGAACATGAAAGTATAGCATTGTTTTCAAAATAGATGACTGAGCAACACACTGAAGCTGAGTTGGTCATATCTTTGTTTTGGGGTGTGTGTAAAACAGTCATCAGTGTCTTGCCCCTAGTCTAGTAAACATGTAGGTAAACATGGATTTCTCAAGGGAAAAGGTAGAAAGATTACATTCCATTTTTTAAAGTGTTCAGCAATAAAGTCTAGATTTTTAAAATTACCCCAAAGCACTTGTTTCTTCCGTTCCCTTTGGGAAGTGAAATCCTTCCATGAGGCAATTCCACTGCCTTCCTCCCCTCATCATCAGTAGGGGAAGAACATGCCCAAGTGTCTGTCACATCAGTGCCATAGATACCAACATGCTTCAGAAGAGCAACCAAGTCCACCCAGCCTTTGTCCAAGTGGAAAGGAAAAATCCAAGTCTCTAAACCTCGCCCCTGCCCAGGTCCTGTATTTCCATATTTCAGCCACTGCTCAGCCCCCCTTGCCACCCTCTTAAGGGCCTTAGAAGTCCGTGATCATGCTCTATATGCAGTCCGTGTTTAACCACACAGCAATTCCAGAGAGCATCCTTCATGCCCACAGTAACTTTTCTCTTTTGTTTTCATTTAATTACAAAGTTTCCCAAATACCAAAAATTTGAAGAAATCATGCATTTGACATTCTGTCCCACTTTTTGACAGACATAAAAGGAAAATTTAAATGCAAATCCACTTCCAACCCTGTGAAGGGATTTCATCAAGTGATCATTTTAAGCTTAATATTTATCGGCAGTACATCCTGCCAAAGAATATGGGGGTGATGTGCCCTCAGAAAGAACTGAGTCTTTTAAATGACTTTCACACTTACTCATTTTAGGTGCTCAAGGTAACCTGAAACTCACGCAATCTCCATCAATAAGACTAAAGTCTTAAAAAATGTTGTCTATTTATTAAGAAGCTAGGGGCCAGGGAGATGGCTCAGTGGAATAAGCACGTCCTTGGCAAGTGCAAGGGCCTGAGTTCAATCTCCGGTTCCACCAAAAAAAAAAAAAAAAAAAAAAAAAAAAGGCGCTAAAGTGCTCAAGCGGAGCTACTACATCAGATTGGATAGCAACCAAGTTCACTCAGAAGACACGGAGTGATATTAAATTACCTCCAAAGGACAGCCAGAAGTCATGCTTGGACAATGGCACAGTCTTGCATACGACATGAAGAGGCCACTGTCCTCTGCCCAGTAGTCTGTCTGGATGATTTTCAGTAATAGGAACAGGCTCTCTCAAACTACACCTGACCTCCCCCTGCCTCACAACTATGTGCAAGTTTTGTATGAAGTCAGATTTCTATGTAGTTAATAGTTTTTAAAAGTAAATATCACAGAAAGATGACTTTAACACTGTAACTGTTAGCCATGTCCGTGAAGTGAAATTGACCTGAATACATGAGGTACAGTGCAAATTCACGGGCTCAATCTCCCAAAGGCATATTCTAATTCTAAAGAAAAAAAAATGCTGTGGAGCTGTGTGTCTTCTTCACCCACATAAACTAACATGCAGATATCACATACACGCATCCATGATTGCAAGCTGGCACTAACCCTAAAAGCTCTGCGTAAGCATTAATTTGCACAAAGCTACCAGGAAGAATATTACTGTACTGTGATGAGCATACTATTGTATCAGGGTACTGAGTTTTCTGCTTTCCTACTACTGAACTATGAACAACAAAGAATATTGTTAAGATACAGCATTTTTCATCTAAAAATAAAAATCATTTATTGTATTTTTAGATATTTGTTTAAAGAATAATTTTATTATTTTATTTT